TTGGGGATATCCAGGCTGGGAGAAAGTGTGAGTGATGATAGAGGTAAGACTAGTGACCGGGACTGGTGGCGGTGGGGGTATGTAGGTGTATCGTGACTAGCTGTGGTGATTCTTGTAGTGGTGGTATTAGTAGGGACAACGGTGGCGGTAGCAGTTAGAAACATAATCCCTGTAGTTTCGATTTTCTTTTCCATTATTACTATGACCCGGATATATACCCTATTATAGTATAGTAGTTACCATTTCATTTTCCATTATCCCAATATAACCCTCATATAACCCCTTTGTATTCCCCATATTCTCTACATAAATGCCCTATACAATCCCTCATCATTGATGCACCCGTCGTCGCCGTCACCCCCTTGAAGTGATCGTCCTCATCATGTAGGATTGGGGATGCATAGGGGTTGACCCCAAAATACTATAGTAGTTTCCATTTGAAATGAGATGGAAACCACTATAGTAGACTATAGAATATTGGGGTTACACATGTATATATATATATATTAGATATAGGGGTTGTTCAGAGATAGGGTTTAGGGGTTGGGCTTTCTTGGGTTCAGGTCTTGAGCTTGTTAGGTTGTTTTGGGTTGGGGGTCATTTGCTGTGGGGCTTGGGGTCATTTAGGGTTTAGGCTTGTTTAGGATACTTTAGGGTGCAGGGAGTCATGTTTAGGGTTTAAGGCTTCTCGAGGTTGAGGGTTTTTATAACTGCGGTTGTCTAGACCTTGGGTTTTCAGAGTCATGCGGAGTCCCCAAACTCCCCCATACGCATTCCGCCTGCCACAGCTTTAGAGCTTGGCTCCTGAAACGTGCTTTTCATGATTCTTCGCCAGCCCAATCTCCGAGGGTGAGAGTTTCGGAACAAACGCTTCGCATCTTTTCCAGAAGTTAGGTTGGGATGTGAACCACCAAAACCTTTAGAAATACAACTGCTACTACTACCGGGACGAGGAGTAATAGTGGGATTTACTAGCTAGTAGTAGTGGTAGCCAAAAATAGTGGTAGCAGCAATCATGGTAGTTGTCCATGGCTGCAGCACTAGTTTGCATGGCCATGGACATGGTAGTAAGAGTGTATTAGTGTCGGTAACAACTTTCGCGCTCCAAGTCGTACCCTGAGCCTTGAATCAAGAACTGTACTGATTTCGCATCGTATGGTGCTTTGCACTGCCAGGTCAATGGTGCGACCCTTGGCAGCAAAGATGCACAACCACCATCAGCAATGTGCATTTCTCTAGGCAGTCATAGTAGTAGCGTTCAGTAGCAGCAGCAGCGGTCGCCTTAGCAAAAGCAGTAGCTGTAGTAGCAGAAGTAGAAGGGGACGTAGCAGTAGCAGCGGCAGTAGAAGCACCACTGCTGCTGCTGCTGCTGCTGCTAGGTACAACTATGACTACAACTCCTGCTCCTGCGACGAGAAAGATGTAGCGGCATAACACACAGCCAAGATCGCCAAGACATGCAGTCTCAGACAGGAGCTTTCGGGCCCGTAGAGCAAATTGGACTGTCAGAAGTCCAAGAACAGCAGTTCAAAATCCTACCTGTATGCTACTGTTAGGTCGGTTATGGGTGCATATGCATCTTTGTTGGGATTACTTCCCTGGGAGTCAGAGCCGCTTGCAAATCGCAAGCCTTGCACAAGCATGATGTATGGCTTTGTAGAGTGTTTTGTTCCGAATACCTCACCCCACATCTAGTAGCCTTGAAAAGGCTCTAGGTTTGCCAAACCATTTTGGAAAAAAATCAGAACATTCTGACCTCCTGCCCATAGTCCATGCATGTTCTTCAGAAACCTCAAACCTCAAGAACCCCAACCTCTCATTCTTATGTACTCATGCAATCCTTGCAAGCCCTGAAAAGAGACCTTCACTTTGCCTGCGCAAGGATGATCATCTTTCGCCCAGAGCCAGGCCTTTCTTCCTCTATCTTCCTGAGGGTTTTAAGTCAGTGCCTTAGGGCTTCTCGGGTTTTGGCTTAAGATTTTAGGGTTGGGGTTGAGGGCCCCTTGCCATTGCTACCGCCATGTTTTGGTGCTGGTATTCCGCGCCTCGGAAGTGTTGAGCCAGAAATCCGTGTCCTGCCGGGTTCGGCGCAGGTAAGCTCGGAGTTGTCACTGCTGAGCGAAGGCTCTTCCCCAGGCAGCCGGCCCTGGGGATAGTGCGCAGGATATGCTGATAACAAAGGCCGGCCGCGCGCAGCTTCCTTACCCACATCACTTCTTAGCAAAGCCCTGTGAGAAGCATGGTACTTGTAGAGCCCAGCAGCCACCGTGTTCCCCCGTAGTATGGAATTTGTCGTATACGCAGGTCCGCCGCAGCCAGTTTGGCCCACGAGACAGAAGGTCGAAGAAGGTAATGTAAGCAGCTCTCAAGCTTCGTGACCCAAGTACCTGCAGCAGTTCGCCCAGCTCTGAAAGTAAGACTACTACCAAGGTCTACAGTCTACGAATACACGGTTAGATTTCTTTTGGAAACGCAGCCTAGTTCAATGAAAAACGAAGCCTTTGCAGCATTCCCATCACTACCCTGTAGTGGTCCAAAGGGGGGAGGCGCTGAATTGGCGCTCACTTTCTGGCTGCCTGGCAGACATCAATGAGAAAGAAGGTTTCTCAACCTCAAAGTACATGTGAAACATGTCAGTTTGAGGGACTCTAGCTGCGTACTTCTTGAGGATACTGTAGAATTCTTTTGAATAGGACTCAACTCAAGGTTTCTGACATAAGTTGCTCCAACTTGCTGAGCTGCAAACTACTCCGCGAATAGAGCAATTTTCATTTCATTCGTATGGGCTTGGGACAGAGGCAGCTAAGATCACAAGAAACAGCTTGGGCAGGAAGTTGTGGCAGCCCTGATCTGTTCTTGCAGGAAAGCTTAGATTCTCCGTGATTCGACTTCAAACTGGTACATCCTCTAGCCGCTGGTTCTCGCTGTTTGGGCTTGTGCAGTAGCAGTCCCATCTGAATCTGAAGCGGATAGAAGCCCCAAGTCTAAGACATTCAATGTATCCTACCTATTCTCAGCAAGCTGTGCTACTGGAATTCCTCAAGATTCCTCGGATTTTGAGTATGCAAGGCCACGCAATGTTAAAGCGCTTGAAGCGCTCTAAACCCTAAACCCTAAATAGTAGTTTCCATTTTCTTTTCCATTACCACTATGTATCCCCATATAACCCTACATAACCCCATATAACCCTATACTATATAAACCCATATAACCCTACATAAACCCATATAACCCTATATAACAAAAAGCCCAGGAGGCAGAGATGGCTTACCAGACACCGGGGCGGTGCTCGGGAGAGTTGAGCTCAGCGCAAGGAGAAGTTGACTTTTACTATCCTTTTACAGGGCCTCCTGGGACCCCAGGAGGTTTAAGGATTAGGGTTTAGGGTTAGACCCTAAACCCTAAACCCCTTTTAGGATTTAGAGTTGGGGGTCTACAGGACCCGCTAGGATTCGCGGGAAGGCTTCAGAGGAATTCGCGGGCCTTTCCACGGGGAGATGTCTTCATGGTTTTGTAGGACCTTAGGACTTCGTGGGAACCTTTTTTAGGGTTTAGGGCTAAGGGTTTACAGGACCTGCTGCGACCCCCCTTAAGGTTTCATAGAACTTCATAGGCCTTTTAAAGGGGAATCTACTGTAACCGCTCGAATTGGTTTCATAAGAGTTCATAGGCCCTTTAAAGAGGAATCTGGTGTAGTGGCCATTTCAGGGATTTCGTCCCCCCTTAAGTAGATAGAATATGGCTTTGGGTATATAATAATAAGATCCCCATAAACCCTATATTCTATCTACTTCAGGAGGGACTAGAAACCCTCTACCCTAAACCCCATATTCTATCTACTTAAGGAATGCAGATGGTAGTAGTGGTCATAATAACAATACAAGTAGTAATAATAACAGTAGCATAGTAATAATAGTAATGATAATCATACTGGTCTGATCCAACTGTCCAGCTTTAACGGGGGCTTTGTTCAGTTCAAACAGACAATGTGCACGTGGCAAGTTTGATTGCGGCCCGTCTCTACATCTTCAGGTACGAGTTCCAAGTAGAGGGCTCACGAAGAATTATCTGGTCCAAACACAATAGATCACATCGACAAGCTTAAGACCCCGTTGATCAAGCTATGCCCCTGCCGCACTTGGGCGGCATCATCCTGAATTTGCGTAAGTTTGCGGAGGAATTAGGCAGCATGCAGCATTGCCTCTTTTTGCATGGGGGAGGAAGTTGCAAGCAGCTCCAGTCACTTGCTTGGCCGCCTTGTGCCATGGTGCCCTGCTAGCTATGAGCCGCTGGGGCATAGCAGCAGCCCCAGGTCCGAGAGGCCTCAGACATCACTTGAGCTATAGTCGAAATCCTTAAGGGGGGGTGATATACTTATATAGGGGAGTATTGTAGGGGTTATTAAGGGAATGCTAGGAGTTTAGAGCATAGCGCACCTGGTGTCACTGTCACTGTTGAATGCTGAGGCCCAATGAACGAGGCTGACGAACCGGCTGACCAGGAGGAGGATGAGAACAGTGGGAATGGTAGTGGCGAGGAGGAGTCTTTGTTCAGTGCGGGAGCTCAGCCGTGGAACAAGCACTGCTGCGTTGAAGATTCAGCGGCTCCAGGCGATGTTCTTTCTAGATGTAAGCTTAGGGCTGGGAGTGCCATGTGAGGTGATGACTTTGGTGACGTGACTTGGCATGTTGGAGGGCATTGGCTCTGAAGTTATTGTACTTGTCTGGTGCAGTTGCCTTGGCCTGCATGGCACATGACCTAAGGATGACAGCGACGAGGCAGTGCAGAAGTATCGTGAGTGATGAGAGTTGTTGGGCTGGTCTGCATGCCTGTGCGCCTCCTGTGACAGGATCAGGATCTCGCTCAGGTTGAGGACCCCGGGCTTGTCAGCATGCTGCCGCTTGGATAGCAGCTGTGGATTTGGGATCCTTGATCTTCGGGGTTGGAGCTGACTGAGGCTGGCTTTGTTGCATTCTCCGCCCTGTCAAGTTCGCTCCAAGGAACTTCGCGCTGGTGGAGGAGCTAAGCCCAGACATTTCAAAGGCACCTGGCGGCATGGGCATTGCATGACGCGCTGGGTCGTACTTTAGCCTTGGGTCCTTCCTAGAATCTGCCCACCCTCAGCTGGATGTGGCCTTTCTACTGACGCCGGCGCGGCCAGGCGGTGACCCTCGCAGATTGCCTTGAGGGCTTTGGTGCCTTGGCTGCGGGTGTGAAGCTCGGGAGAGTCGAGCCAGAATGAAGGCCGCAAAAGGGGGGGGGTGCTTCATCTAAGGTACTTACGTAAGGATTCCCCGCTCGTTTGCGTGATTCTGCCTTGTTGGCCCGCAACCACCAAACTCATGAGAAGCGCCCAGGAAAGCACTGGCAGGGGCAGATCACCGGCGGCCTTGGCTCCACCAGACAACCACAGGACGCTTTTTTAGCTTTCCGCTCAGAAAGATGGCGCTGGTAAGATTGATTCTGTTTGCACTGCAGCTTCTTTCCAGCAACGACGCCAGCTTCGGGCCCTGTTCCGCTCAAATGGGATTCAAAGGAGAACAAGCAATGGGCTTCTTGTGCAGCCGGTTTAGGTCAAACCGACACCGGAAACTGTCACCAAATCTTAACAAGATCTCGCCGTGACCCCTCCAGACCTTAAGCGGATTTCACCAAAACAAACCAAAACCTTCAGCGTGCTTGAGTGGACCACCACCCCGCGGAGCTGACCATGCCATGACGCGTAGCCCTTGAACAGACCACACAGTGACGCCGCTGCACGTTTGCTAGATCTTAAGCGGACCACACTGTGGCACCCCCAAACCTCGAGCAGTTTGCACTTTGACGCCCCAAAACCTTCTGCGTTGTCGGGTGGACAACGCCACTTTGTTGAAACGACCACGAATACCCCGTGAGTGAAGTCACTATAGCTTGAGCGTCCTCCAAGCCCTCAGTGGACCGCCCCGTGACACCCCAAACCCTTGAGCGGATCATGCTGTGACACTGTGAAAGTCTTGAGCAGATTGCACAGTGACATTCCAGAACCTTGACCGAAGCACACCATTACATCCCAAACCCTCGAGCAGATCACGTCAAGACCGCCCAAAACCTTTGGCAGATTCCATGGCCCTTGCGGGGATCACACTGTGACACCCAAAAAACCGCAAGCCGACAGCAATTTCACAAATACTGCACAAACCCAGAAGTGAGAGTTCAGCAGAAGCCAGTCATGGCAATCGTACAACGATGATGTGTGCTTAAGCCTGAAAATGAAACATGCATCTTCCACAGATGTGCGACAGACATGGTCCATTACAAATTGACTCGTTTCAGCACCCTTTTCTTCGTATTATCCTCCTGCAGCAGTCTGTGACCTTTGCCAGCTAGGAAGACTCTTAATGCTGCGAGTCTTTGCGTTATTTGCTCCGGGCCCTGCCTAGACTATGATTGGCTTGTGCCCAGCAGGAAAAAGCGCGGCAGACCAAGCACATCGACGACTTCATCTCCCACGACTGGTCAACGAACGGAACTGCGAGCCACAGCCGGCAAAATCAGGAGTCAACAATAATAGCAACAATACTACTAACAATAACCACGACATGCACAATTATCATGAGATCTTCCGGCTAGCTTTGTACCGAATTTCTCACCAGGGCTCTCATTCTGCTGTATGCAAGACGAATCCCAACTACCCTGCAACCAACTTTCCTAAAGTCTAGTCTAGAAGTACCTCCGAAGGTATGGTTCAGGAGTAGAGTGCCGCAACTGAGGAAGTTCATCACTTTGTGACTTGGCGAGTATTACTTTGACTTGAGAAGTGTGTGTATGAATATATACGTATATGTATATACATGTAGACATTGTATATGGCATACATGATTATTCACTGTTGTTCTTCCTAATCGGGACTGCTTATCGGTTCTGTGAAGCGATAGGTGACACTTTCAGGAGTTTTGGACAGCCTTCATTTGGAGCTCGCTTATCACCTGCGTTGCTGTTGCGGATGGACATTTCCATGCGAACGCGCCCATAGTCGCCTCATAGACCTTCCCTTCAAGATCACGGATGTTTACTTCTCTGAGGTGTAAGCTCTACAATGGTCGGCCAGCGATCGGCATCGACCCTTGGCAGCTAGGAGGGTTCAACACCACAGACAGCAGAAACGTGAAGGCCCTTGATAGCTCGGCAGGCCCCGAAGCTTGTCACACGTGGATACTAGTTCCATGTAACAGATTGTCATGACGTAGTAGGAATCCTGAGCTTGATATAGCCATGAGAACCCCCAAGTAGAAGGCAACAACGCGAACCCTTCAACGAGCGGCAACAAGCACGACAACAAATACAATCACAACAATTCATAGCAAGAAAATCATGGAGAGTCACCGTCACGGCATAAGTAACATGGACAGCACGGATCCAAGAAGTACAACCTGCACCTTTTGTCGAGATTGTGGTGCTTCTGTTATCTGCTGATGCCACAAATAAACCCCCAGCTCTAGTTAACTTTTCATGTGGATGGCATGAATGTGCACCGGTTGCCAAGGCTGTGGTAGTTGCAGCCTCAGAAGTCTTTCAGAGCATAGAGCATGCTGTTCCTGCCGAAGCATAACTTCCGACACTGTGTGATGCTGGTCGTGTTGGTCTCAATGTTGAGCCGGTTGGGCCTATCAATGCTCGTGTTGCCATTGGTACTTTCCCAAAATAAGGGGACCCCAATATAGACCCCAAAATAATATAATCCTTAATATTGGGACCCCTAAAAAGGTACCCCTAATTTTGGGAAACCCCCACAGAAATTCTTGTATGGCAATTGTGGGTGCCTGATCTCTTACGGAGCTCGTAGGCGGTGCCAGTACCAATTTTTCGGTCGGTGGAGCAATAATAATTTGTAACACCTGGTAAAGGCCCATAAGCCGTCTAAGCGGCTTCGCAACGAACCATGGCGCAGTATCCAGCGATTTGAAATAAAGCCATAGTGCCTTAAGCGTTCGGAGGTCTCGGTCGCGGCAGGGGTTCTCGAGACTTTCTTCGAGGAACTACGTGTTCTGCCAGGATTCTTCGCGGCTCAGCATAAACTGGATGTACCTCGCCATCGCGGACATCATAGAAAGGTTGTACATTGCTGATTGAGGTCCTCATCGGCAGACAAAGGATGGAAGTACCGAGCGCAGGCGTCAACCCGATTTCTGCTTGGCAACAGTCCAGCTAGAACTCCTAGAGCAGAGTTGTGCATCGGCTGTAGGATGGTAGCTCCTCCAGCATGTCATGACCTGCCGTAAAAACAATTCAAGAAGAGAGGATGCTTTGGGCTGCTGGGTGGCATTTGCAACTTGGCCTTGCAATTGGCGTTTGGGTGCTAGCCTGAACTCAGCTCTGCGTGTTCAGCTTCGACCTCATGAGACTGTTGGACACAACACGATCGCCTTGCCTAGACGTTCAGTAGAATAATCTATTGACCAGACATGTGATAGCCGCCTGACACTCATCTTTGCCAGCTTTTTGCAAAGCTTGCGGGTATCGAAGAGGTGCGTACCTGATGGCCTTGTGCTTCTGGCAACGTGTGCAGCATTTGGTTCCGTGGCTGCAGTTTGTTGTAAAGCAGGCTGCAGACAGCAACGCCCAGGACCATAGCTTGCAGCTGTAAGAAGAACTGGCAGGGTTTACGGTTGCGTTGTTTTGGCTTTCAGGCTTGCTTGGTGGCATTGCTTGTAGATCCAAGCAAGGTCTGTCGACGATCTCGGCAAGTGTTCATGGACAGGCCCGCATGAGTCCGACAGTTTATGTTAGCCTGCAACAATAGTCAAGCTTCCTGATGTTCCATGACGTAGAATGAGTCGCAGAAGCAGCCGCCGCAGGCTATGTATAGAGCAGAACAATCCTGAGCTGACCCTTTGCTGCAATGAGGGCATAGGACCTCGCTTGAGGCCCAAGTTGCCTGCATTCTCGTCCTTGAATGTGAGTCACAAGTCCGAAGCCGGAGCTGCTGAGGAAGAAGAGAGGCATCATGGGTCTGGCCGGCTTCCTGAAGCCCCCTGGTCAGCCTAATGGCCCTGGATAGTGCACTCGCCTTTTGATGACGGATCTGAGGCTGTCCAAGCGATTGGTGGTGCTCTGGAGCCCCAGGCCGGCTGCTGCAAGCATGGGTTTGAGAAACACAGCTCGGCCTCTGCATGGCAAAACGGCGCTGGCTCGTATACGAAAGAATCCCTTCAAGAAGGGAAATGGCCCAAAACTGCTCTCGACAAGCAAGATCTCCCTGCACGAGATTCATTCCTGAACACAACAAGCGCGGGCGCCTGCTGTGAGCTGAATTATGGGCTGCGGGCACCGGTTCTGAAAGTTTGCGCAGGTATTTCACGCGTTTGTGGTGCGTATACGCTCCTTGGCAGTCAAGGCTACGAGGCATGTTCCAGCATGCTGCAGACTGCACTGATGCTAATTTAGGTCAATATGCGCATGAGGCCATGAAGTCAGTGCCAATGCAAGGGCATGCCATGAGTTGTGCTAAGGAACTCGCAACATGGACGAAGCTACGAAAGTGTGCGCCCCAGACGACACATGCTGGAGTCCTTGTGCTTGCTTACCGGCAGCAGGCCCTGCTGCAGAGAGGCACATGTTGGAGTGCATGATGTGAGCGCGATGCAGATAAAGTGATTTGACCCTAGCCCTGCAAAGACTCAAGGTCTTTGAGACAGATCATCATTGCGCCTGTTGCACAAGGAGATCTATTTTTCCAGTTGCCAAGTACTTCAGGCTCTACAGGCAAGAGCTAGGCCGTGCTTTTGTGTTTGAGACCGGGCTTCTTGTATGGAGGAGTGTTCATGCTTCTCGTGCTGTGTGGCGTCTTTGTGGTCATGGCAGCTTGGTGGCAGTTTGTCAATGCTCAACAGCAAGTTGGCAGAACTTCCCTGGGTGCAGTCTTCTCAGCCGCGAGGAAGATTTGCGTTTTTCGCAACACAGTATCTGTTGGCTATTCGATGTCGCAGTATGTGTTGCCAAAGATCCATGCGGTCACAATTCTTGCCATGTGTGTGTTGGGCTTTCCTTGACTTGTAGGTTGTGTTGACTGCTCTCGCTCAAGTGGACAACTGGGAGCTCTACGCCATCACCCTTGGATTAGCGGCACGGCATATGCAAGTTTCACAAGTTTCAGGCCTTGTGTTTTTCGGTCTCCAAAATGCGGGTCCTAAAGGCTTGGGGTATGCGCGGGCCTGAATTCTGGGTTAAGGGTTATGAAGCTATGAAGTGGTCGGTCATGCCTGTTTCCTTCATGGATCGGTCATCAGACGATTTATAAGTGATTGGTGATTTGGACAAGGTTACGGCCGCAATCATGATGGCACCGCTTTATGCCGTGCGCAATTTGGCGACTTGTCTGCTGTGGCTAGGTTTTGCCGCGGATTGGAGCGGCACGTTGCACCATTTGGTTTGGCATGGGAGTGTTTGCAAAGCTCCCGCAACCGCACCACTCTGATCTGCAATGTAGGTCTGCGACCTACGTGTGATGAAAGTCCAGATTGAAGGCTTTAGCTTCATGAGCCCTTGCTGCAAGTATCACTGCAGCAGAAGCCCTGCGGACAGTGGGCCGTAAAGTTGCTTAATCAAGGAGTTCCATTGGAGTGATCCTGATCTTTCGATGAAATGGCGAAACATCTCAGGAGCGCAGAGTGCTACTGCTGCCGGGTGGACCACACCATCCCTGGCACAAGCACGCGCATCCCTTGTGACCGTCAAATCATCGGCCACCTGTCCGAAGCAAGAGTTCAGCTTACATGTGGTCGTGGCAGCGCAACTGCTCTGTACGGACAAGGGGAGTTTGAACTAATTATATAATACAATGATGAATACGATGAACATGCTATCAAACTAGCAGTCTTATTACTGTTCATCTGGGTAGGCCCCTGGGATATTACATATTTTCCCTAATGGCTTTAATAAGGGACCCTATATACTAATATGTTTCAAAGGGCTTTAGGGGCCAACCCAGTCATAATACTGAAAGACAGTATATTCACAATATGGATCACAGACACGGTTGTAATTGTACGCACCTCGCAGCACAAACCTAAAACCCTAAACAAACCCTGCTCATGCAGACGTAAAAGTCCGCTGGTTAAAAAAAAACCCTGAAAACCCTGAACCCTAAGAAGCAGTTTCTATTTTCTCTTCCATATTCCCATTGTATCCCCATTACCTCTCAAACCCTAAAACCCTGAACCCTGAATAGTAGTTTCCATTTTCTTTTCCATCCTCCCTATTTTAACCCTTACATACTCTCTATATAATCCCTATACCCTATATAATCCCTATGTAA